GTGTGCGTGCGTGTGCGTGTGCGTGTGCGTGTGCGTGTGCGCGTGTGTGTGTGTGTGTGTGTGTGCGCGTGCGTGCGTGCGTGCGTGCGTGCGTGCGTGCGTGCGCGTGTGCGTGCGTGTGTGTGTGTGTGTGTGCGTGTGCCTGTGCCCGTATGTGTGTGTGCGTGTATATTTGTTTTTTCGTTTGTTTGTTTTTGTGTGCTTTCGCGGCCAGATTGTGAATACCAAAGCCATCGGGCTTCGAGAGCGAACAATGGCGAGCCTGAGGTGCTGACAGCAAAACACACGAGTTTTTGTTGGTTCTCGCGGTCCTGTCGCTTCGTGTCTCGCTCCCACCTGAGGCGAGAAATCACCGTAATGCGCGAGTGCTGGGCTCGGGAAGCCATGTTTTGCAGATGAAGGGGTGCTTTGCAATCACAAGGCTGCACCATCCAAGAATAGTCAACTTGAAAGAGGCCACGGCCAAAGATACCACGCTGCTACGCTTCAGCCCGATACAGTGTTGCAAGACAGAGACCCGAGAGTGCACAGCGATTTGTTCAGGCTTTCTGGGAAGGAAACTTGTGCTACATCGTCATGGACCTTGCGCGAGGCGGACTGCCCTTGCAGAGCGGCGAGAGAGCGCGCGCGAGAGAGAGACGAGAGGCGGCGACCTGCACGGCAAGCTGGAGCCCGGAGTCGGCCTCGGCTCCGAGCAGTCTTCCAGGCGAAAATGGCAGTTTCGAGATTGAGATAGAGATGAAGGAGTCGGTGAAGACTTATGCAGCTGGACGTAATCCAGGCACGTGTCCCTGCAGCTTCTTGGGGGCATCGCCTACATGCACTCGCACAAGGCGGGGGTTCCCCTTTCTGTGCGAGAGCTGGTCATGCCACACTGTGCAGGTCATTCATCGCGACCTGAAGCCCGTAGGGCACTCGAGAGAACACTTCGCCCCAGCCCCACCAAGCAGCTTTCCACAGACTCAGCTCCTGAAGGAAAACGTGCTGATTGTTCGCAAGGGCCTGAGAAGACATCTGAAACATGTGCTTGAAAGGGTTGGTTCACAGGGCTGCAGAACTCAGGTTCCTTCTGCGGACCAGAGCCGCTTCGTTCTGAAATGCTTCCAGCTGAGTCGTAGTTGAAACCCGATACTCGTATGTAATAGCTCCTCATAGCACCTCAGTCAGAGCTCTCCATGGGTGTGTCTAGACCAGGAAGCTGAGAAGCTCAGCTACGCCTTGAACCTTGCTGGTAACGTCAGTGCCGCAGCATCTTCTAAGTTGGATTTCAGGAAGTAAGTGTTCCCACATGACATCCGAGCCATTCCGGGAATCTGGATGTGGGCACTGCTTGGGAGTGCTGATGCTGCTATATGGACTATTCAACACGTATCTTTTCATTAAATTTACACCCGTCTACACCGCCACATCGTGCGGTGATCAAACGGCCTTGTTGAAGAAGTTCGAGGTCGGGGACTCCATTCACGTAGGTGTGGAAATACACGTGCTGTGCTCTAACCCCAACCCCTACGATGTCAAGATTTTGAATGACACGCCCGGTCATGTGTACGTTGGCAAAGATCGAGGCCAGGGGGAGTTGCAATACAGGGCAGGTATAGTTCGAATCTAGAGTCTGTGCATGTTGAGCTACAGTCCCGGAAGGTACAAATGTTGGTGTGCTTACACTTTTGGAAGGCTCAACACTCCCGTCAGAAGGACAAGGAACTATCAAAGTATATATGGACAGTCGAATATCCAAAGACTCGTCTGGAACCTTGGCCGAGCAATTCCTTGGTAAAGGCGAAATTCCAATCTACCTGGAGCTGAAGTTCAACGTTGGGGTGGATGTCAGCTTCGGACTGCAGCACTTCGGGACCACAGCTCCTTTTGACAAGAAGTGCGGGATGAATATTGGTGGAATGTTTGAGCGATCGCAGAACAAGCTCGGACCGATGCTTTGCCGCGGCAGCTTCGACGAGCTAGGCGATCTCCCGCACTTGGGCGAGGCAGTTCCAGGTGGGCCCCCGGTTTGTGTCACTTCGCAAGGGCCATGGGGGACACGTGGCTCAAGTCTGTCGCGCAGCGCATATAGCAAGTTCCTGAAGCATTGACCATTGACTTTAACAAGGTTCGTGGGTTCGGGACTCTCATGTGCCGAGCGCCTTGATTCGAGACTTGCACTCTCGTTGCCATCTGCAGCCTCCTCAGAGTTGCCTTGTCTTTAGCTGTAACCGATCCTTGCGTGCAAAACACGAAGAGTTTCCCGACTCTTCCCCCGGCGCATGCTTGAACTGTCAGACCTGCGTTGCCGTGTGAAGACACGTGGTGTGCGGGGTGGCTGGACACGGCAATCGCTTGCAGGAGGGTCGAAAGCCGGACGAGACGGCAGCAACTCACCCAGTGAGGTGCACCAGGACACACCAGGACACCATCCTACTGGTCGTACTGTGAATAGTCATACATGTACCAAAGAACTGCGAAATGCCTTACGAGTACGTGTGGACAGGTCAAGTTGAGGCGGTGTGCATTGAAAGTGGCTCAGGGCTGAAGGCAGGTTTGAGGCCTGTCAAGAGACGAGGACAACCCTGTTTGAACCTCGAGCCCAAGAAAAGAGGAAGCGGCAGAAAACCACTGCGTAACCCCGGAAGATCCAGGGCAGGTCAGGCAGGAAACCTTGCATGCCTAGCTGCAATACATGAGACTCCCATCTTGAAGGCGAGATGTCCTTTTCTGCCGCACAGATGGATCCAGATCGGGTGCAAATGGGCGAGCGACTAAAGAACATTGGAATTCTGGGTGTTGGTGGATTTTGCTATCTGCTCGGCTTTTTCATGACCTACACCTGGTTCCAGAAACTCTGGGCCGTGTGTCAGTCTGGTCCAGCTCTACAGCGGGCATCCAGCCGAACAGTTTCGCGGGATGGATTGACGAGTTCGTGCATTCGTGCAAGAAGCGGTAACTTGCTAGAGACTGAGCAGCCGGAGCAGATGCCATGGCACCGGGGTTTGCTTGGTGGTCTTGGCAAGGACAGGCATAGGCCCAAGCGGAGCCAATTGGATGAACGCTCAAAGCTAATCAGTTTGCTCTCCTGTGGCATGATCAAGTGGACGCGTGGAATGGATGGAGGGCAGCCGACATTGACCCGTAGCGAGTCCCAAGCCAGTGGAGATCTCCCTGGGCTGCCAAATTGCACGAGGCTCATTGCCTGAGTTCTTCCCTGCGTTGCTGCGAGGTTGTACGAATGTAGCCGCAGCCTGCGCGAAGGGCAGGCAGCCGTTGATTCTTAATCTGCAAGCTGCTCACAGGTACCAGCTGCAGCGGTCTAGTCTTACTCATAGTTCCATTTAGACTTCGCCTGGTCACATTTTCCCTAGAGTCGGCAGCCTGCTCTGCAGGTAGCAGGGTGTTCAATGTCTGCGAGCCGGCTGTAGTCTTGAGCAGGTATTCCGTGCTTCAGAGGGTTCCAAGCATCATCGAGACGATTCGATGACGCGTGGTCTGGTCACTGGTGAGCTAAAGAGTTCTTCTCCATACAGGGTGTGGCCGTGCCAGCCAGTGGCGAAGTCAACCTGGATTGCAGGCTTTGCTGAAGGGACGAGAACTGGCCACCGGTGCAAAAGTGAATGTCGCAACTCGATGTTTTTGCAATACAGCAGGCAGAGTCTGAGAAGTGTTTCTGTGAGGCACGAGGTCAAGATCGCAGACTTCGGCTTGTCCAAGTGCTTACGACGAGTTGGAGAACAAGAAGCAGGCCTGGTCGGCATCACTGTGATTCTTAACCTTGGATCCACCGACAGCTTAGCGTACAAGGAATGACAGCCTGCGGAACTTTGGACTACTTGGCACCAGAGGCACACTTCAGATGAGAGCTGGTCGGATCGACCCGGCAAGCTCCAAGTCGCAACAGATGCCCTTCAATGTCAAGCCTCATACGATTGCAGTGCGTGGTCTGGCTAGTGTTGTCTAGGGGATCACTGCAAGACTTGCAGGTTGTGACCGGTCAATACGATGAGTCGTTCCGGCTTTGTTCTTCTGCTTCTCACGTGTTTTGCCTGCGCGCGCATTTGCCAGCGCGACAGGCGAATTGACTTCTGGAGCTTCGGGGTCTTGCTGTACATCATGTGCTGGGCCTGAAGCATCCTACTGGACCATGGCGCCAGCTGCACGTTGCACCTCAGGCTGTCTGGGAGACTTCCCTTCGAAATAGAAGGCACATTGTGCACACAAATTGTCGTGCATGGACTTCAGCCTCATGTTGTGTGACGCACGCGTGCGTGTAGGAGCAAGTCCCAGTGCTCGACTGCCGAAGCATTCGGCTCGACCGCTTTTTCGACTTCTTGTGCCCTCCTTTCGGCTCTCGTCGCCTCGTCATCGCATCCTCGACCGGCGGCGCCGGCTCTGCCGAGTTCGACCTGGCGAGTTCGTCGCCATGGCCGGCCTTGATAATATCGTTGGCACCACACCGTGGCCTATTTCACTGGGCCCCGCACATGTCGAGCGGTGTCGAGCCGCCCCTCGTTACCACCGCCGATATACTAGGTGGGGACCACGTGCACGCCCCGAGACGGCATGTTTCGGGTGCTTGCCACCCTTGATCCCGGCGTTTTTGAGCGCCTGGCCGATGTGACGCTGGAAGTCCCTTTGGCCACGAGGGTGGCAGCGTCGTAGCATCCTCCGCCGGGCATGCGGACTTCGACGCCTGACTACGACCTCGACACCGTCTTTGGCATGGGCTGCCAGCTCGTGCCACCTGCTTTGTGACCCGCCACAACAAGACAACCCGCTCTCACTCCCGTCCCAAGGAGGGGCCTCGACTGAACGCCTTGTCCTCGCTCGTCCCCACAGCGAGACGACGGGCGTCCCTGCACACAGACTCGTGGCCTGGACGCACTGTGTCAGGCGCTGCGAGACGACATGCCGGTGCTGTTCCGGAAGACATGGAGGAGCATGCGCGCCTATCTCGCCGTCGCCCATCGGCGTAACAAGGAATAAGGAATACTTCCTCGTGACCTCTTGCCACCAGGAGCACGACCTGGGCTGCGGCGGCTGGCCAACCACATCATCAAGTCCGTCGCTAAGGGCCTCCCAAACTCGGGGGTTTAGGCTTTCTTCTCCTAGCGCCAACACTGGCTGGCGGGCGGGCTCCGCCACTGTTGCTCTCGCGGTGATGCAGAGAGCTGAGGACATGGACGTCGAGTGATTCTGGATGCTCGCGATGACGAAATTGTTAGGATGAAAAGTGAGATGCATGAGATGATGCGGATCCAGCAGCAGGGACTGGAAATGCTCAAGGTCGACAACGAGCCTCTTGGCAGAACCCGAAGCAACAGTGACGAAGCTGAAGCCCCTAGGACGACAAGGAGAAGAACAGCAAAAATCAAAAGAAGAAGCACAAGAAGAGCAAGCGGGACGATTCGTCTCCATCCTCCATTGACAACAAAGCTCTAACGAAGCTGCTGATGAAAGTTATCACGAATACAAAGGAGGACAAGGATGTTGCCAATAAGCGAGCGTCGTTTTCCACAACAATTTCATCCTCGGGACGCCAGAGCCATCCCTTACCGCGCAGGCCACCAGCAAGCGGATCCTCGAGCCGGAGCCGCTCGAGCCTTTGCTCCAAAGCAAGACTGAGGCTCAACCGGCGGAAGCCGAGGATGATGATGAACAGATCGTCTTCGATCACCGTCTTGCCTGAGCCCGTGAGCGACAACGCTCCAGGATGGCATTGAACCTGTGTGGCAGGATGAAGTCACTGTGCCTGAGGATGAGGCTGCTCCGGCATCTGATTGTGACCGCAAGTTCCCGCATGGTTCTGTTGGGTACTCTATGTCGTTGCGTCAGGTAGGCAAGTACCAGCGGTTACCAGCGCCCAGTTGTCAAGGAGGAAGTTGACTGTTGTGATGACGATGACATGGGCATTCCCTCTGGTCATAATGAGGGCACTCTAGCGTCGGAAGACGTCTCTGAGGAGGTGTGGTACTCAGTGGAGGAGTTCCCAGATTTCCCAGCCGGGCATTGGTACATGACCGACAAGGCCCGATTTTCGCTCACCAAGACGATGACGATTTACCTGCGTTTCTACAGGGGGGGGGGGGCGATCCAGACTGCTACGAAGCCTGATGACCTGATCTGTTCCCAGAGGAGCGCTCTATGGGTTTCTACGAGCAAGTCCAGCTGTATTACCTTGCCACGTCGACTTTGCAGCCTACTACGTGGTCCATGCCGAGCGATCGTCTAAGTCCCGCCGTGGTTGCCTCCGCGACCATTCCTGCCGTCCCCCCGAAAAAGCTCTAGTATATTCAACACTCCTGGATCGTCAGAGACTGTAGCTTGTGTCCTGCAGAGGGTTCCGTTTCACTCTTCTCTTCACAAGCAGAAGTACTCGGCGAGCCATCTAAGGGTGGCATCGGCACTTCTTCTGGCGAAGTTCCCGCCCAATCGAACTGTCCTGACGCTGAGCCGGAGTCCGGGACAGTCTGACGGGGAGGCAACCTTCCGGTTGTTCGAAAAGCAAGAGTGCGAATCTGTCTCCTCAACTTCAAGATTGGAAGCGACCCCATTCAATGCCTAGAGCGAGGTGACAGTATCCACTGGGGGCGCGCCGTCCGGCGAGGATTTGCTGTCTGCTGTCACTCGCCGCCCATAAGAGGCACTGACTCGTGCTCAGGCCCCGGCGGTCACAGCAACGACGAGCGATCGCAGCGGCAGGCCAAGCCTGGCACGGTTACCTTTTCTGCGATCAAGGCCATTGAGGTCGTGAAGTATAGCTGCAAAGCTTCAGCGACAAAGATGAGCGGGGGCGAGTCGAAGTGCTCGTCGGGATTCGCCCAGAGGGCTGGAGTATCTTGCCATCAGTGCCTTCCAAGGCCACATTCGGAATCTCGTCTCGAAAGAGAGTGTGACTGGAAGGCTATCCACAATGCCTTTCATGTTTTTGGTGAGGAATGGGAGCCCTCGCTCTCAGAGTACCCGGCTGTCGGGCTCACGGCTTACCGCCATCCGAACTGGGGGTCCATGCCGAAGATCGGCTACCGTGCCACGTTCTGGTCCAACTTTCCGAGCTTGGTGGCCGACGGCTTGCTCCGGGGTGGTGTTACACTCGGCGGAAGCTCGAGTAGAACATTTGAATGATGGCGAAAGAATCGGTGTGGCTTCGCCAGAGCAACGTGGGGCTCCGGCCAGGGGCGGAGGTTGAGTTCGCAATTGACTTGCAGCTCACGTGCTTGGAAGGGTGTCGCATATTTGAGACCAAGAACGATGTGCCGAAGACACTTGACTGGCTTTCCAGCAGATTCCTCATTAAGGCGTATCTGGAACGAGACGAGACCGGGCCAGTCTTCAATGCCGACTTGGCCGATCGCGCGGTGGAAGCCAGCGCCTGCTGCGTATAGCAAGATACGTCGCCAACCTTTGAGAATGAGAACCTTGATTGGGTTGAGTTCGTCGGGTATCACAACAACATGCCCCTTCCGTCACACCTCCGGGAGGAGGGCGTTTTCAACGTCGATGGATGCATCATCCAGTTTGAGCACAACAGCAGTCTGGACGGGGCGCTGGCAGAGTGGACCCCTGACGCTCAGGTGTGGTTCCCAAGGGCAGGCAGGCCCTTCCAAACCATACGAAAGGCGCATCGAAGGAATGACTACTGCACATGGTCTGTCTGAATGTGTGTTTTCCGAAGTACTACTGCCCAGACGATCGACGCGGCTTCGGAATGGTTGACGGTTTCCTCATCTGCCCGAGGTGCAGCAGTGCAGCTGCAAGCTTTTCAGTCCGAGTGATGTTTTTCACCTCGCTGAGCTTGCGGATCTGCGGGCAGAAGCCTTGCCAAGGTGGCAGCAACGTTGGCTTGATGTACCTCGCACCGAGGTCGCCGAGGTCCAGTCTCAATGCCCGCTTGCGTGAGCACACTCGCGAGGAGCATGATCAGAAGCAGAGCGTGGCAGCGACTCTCAAGGCCACGTGCAAAAAGGCCGTCGCCAAAACTGCAGAGAGAAGGCACGCAGACATGCCCACGCAGCTGGCCAATGAGCCGTTTATTGCTTTCAACTTCATGTCTAAGCGGATGACATTGAGGTCGATCGACGAGATCGAGATGTTCGCCAGAGTCAGGATTCCAAACCCTGACCGCTGAGGAACGGGAGCCAAGAAAGCATTCCAAGGCTCCCGCACTTTCCCCCAATTCAATGATGGTGTGGAAGCACTGGTTACATGCCTGGCAGCCGTTTTCAGCTATTTCTCGAACAGCACTGTTATTGTTTCCAGGATCGCTTCTATTTGATGACTGAGGAGGCGGTGCTCATCAGAGCAGCTTAGCTTGCGCAGGAAGTGCGGCCACGCATCGACCCATTTACCATCCTCACACAAGAGGTCCAGCCCTTGACGTGGACTGTGCGCGAGATTATGGCTTCTAACAACACAGATCCTCCGCGCCAAAGTCAATTTCGCACTAAAGACAGAAGGAACACTATGTGGGTTAGTGTTGTTATTGGCAAGGATCATAGTTGAGATTCCCGCTGCTTTGGGCGCCATGGGCCGGAACTAGATGCTCGCACCTCTCAAGGCCACACGTTTCTCCGTTGAGCGCAAGCGCAGCTGGCTGAGTGAGACGCTTGGTCCGGCGTGGAGCATCGCCTACAGGAACCTTGCGTGTTCCTCCACCACCACCTATACTCCGTCCGAAAGGGCTGGAAGGAAGCACGCCGCCTGCTGCCAAAGCAGCTCGTGTACCGACTCCAAGTGTGCGGGAGCCTCCATCTGCCATCTGTCCCAGCACGTGGTCGGTCTCTTGGCAGAGCACCCGGATCTTCCACAGATCAACCGATGCCATCCAGCGCAACCAAGGCTGGGCGCACAGCAAGGCGCGTCCTAAGGCTGGCGCCACTCGTGATCCTGCATCCTACATTTTTGGGTGGGATTGGGATGAGTATTTTGCGGGAATGGGTGAGACCAGCGGGCTTTGCCGTGGCAGGTAAAGGCAGGCCAAAGGCACCTGCAGTGCCGCCACGCGCCGTTTCCGCCACAGCTTCAGGTGCCGGAGGGCGTGCTCACACAAGGTCCCGCGCCGTCCGGCCAATACAGACGTCAACTGGGAGTATCAGAACGCCTGCGGCGAAGCAATTGCTCAGCAATTCGAACACCTCAGGGACACTTTCTACAAAGTTCTCTGAGGATCGGCTCTGTCTGTGGAGAGATGATCACGGTGGACTGTTTCATCCTTCCGAACCCGTGCCATGCACTTTCTTAAGGTCGCCTCGACTCGTGGTACTGGGCTGTGTTGCGGGCACGCTGCCTGGGCGAAATTCCGCCGCCTCAGGTTCCGTTCGTTATCCCCGCTTACACTGACCGGAAGGTCTTGGTCCAGCATGATACTCATCAAATCGTTTGGTTCCTCCGTGTTGACCCCAACACCTGTATCAGCTACAGCATCTACTGGGGTGTGTGTGAGCCCCTCTGGCGACGTCCGACACCGGAGTGTGCTCGCAAATCTGCTCAGCATTGAATTTGGGCATCATATACAGCGGGGCGCAAGCATACTTATTTTTCTGCATTGCACCGCACAGGCGTGCGCCATGCCTGTGCGACACCACCTGACAGGTCGGTATGACTCTGAGTAGGGGTAGGTAGCATTGCACACATCTTTCACTCTTTTGCATGCCACGCAAAGTGTGTGCAGCCAACCGTGTGTAGCGCGGAGTTTCTTGTTTGCCTCATCCGCTGCGCCACTGCGCTCCAACTCCAACATTTGGCGGTTTTTTTACTTTAGTTGTATAAGTTGTACTTATGTACTGTATCGAAACTCGTCTTACCTATTGCCCCTTGGCTGAAGTGAGAAAAGAGTTCGTGCCTTCTGCTGGTAACAATACTCCTGTTGATCTTCGGCTGCTTCGTCGCCCAGGACGAACGGCTGCCGCCACATTGGATCACATTCGTCGACAATGTGGCAAGGGAATTCGTGCTCATGAAGGGTTGCGGCAAGGACCCGTTTGTCAACGAGTCAACGGCATCGTGCGTCCGAACTGGCGTGGATCGCCCACGCCACTGGGCGAATGAGGTGATGCACGTCCTCGGCGAGGCGGCCGTCGACGTTTCCGACTTGGCACACTGGTAGACCGTGCTCACGCTTGTGCGTAGTGCGGTGCGCAGATATTGGAGTCAGCCTGGGATTTGTTGTCTAACGCACGTGTGCGTGTAGGAACAAGTCCGCCTCGGCTGCTGGGCCATTCGGCTCGACCGCTTGTCGACTTCCCGCCCTCGCCACCGTTTTCTTTTTTCCGACAAGACTTGCCGGCCGGCGCTCGCCGACTGGGCGGTGTTTATTTTGGCACAGTACGCGCATGTACGCGCTTCGACCAAAGAAGGGCACTGCACCTTCTTACTACGTAGATTGTGGCTAATGCGTCGTTACCGTGGAACTTGTTTTGTAGGTGGGCCCTGAAGGGAAATGCATGAAGGCGTTGCGGACATCAAGTGCCTGAGAGAGGGGAGCCTAAACTTCCCGGGCGCCTGGAGCTCAAGCTTCGTGCCGCAGCGCAATGCAAGTTCACACCACCTGCCTCGTTGCCGTGGACGCTCGATCGAGCACGTGCTTGCTGACAAGAACATTCCGCGGAATTATTACTAGCACCACATGTGCCTTCTGATCGTAGACACATTCTATGGTATGTCACCTGGTATGTTTTCCATCCACGTGTGCATTCACAAGGAAAATAAAGCGAATTCCGAGTTTTGATGATGTGATCAGGGTGTGAATAATGAACTGAACGGAATGTTTAGATGAGTATACATCTTTGGAAAATTTTGAAGGCGACAGGATTTGACTGGACACAGACGAAAAGATTCAACTTAAGAGAGAAATAGCCAGAAGTAGAATCATGATGATGAAGAGCGAAAACAAGCCCTAGAAAATGAATCATATTCGAGCCACACATTGCACTTCTTTACCCCCTCAGGCTTGGCGAAGCGTGTCAGAGCATGCGAAAAGTTTTGTGTGCCGCACTTACAGAATCAGACAAACTCAGATGTGTCGATGGAATCGCGGCATTCCATGAAATCCCAACTACTGGTCGCAGGCAAGGGCTCCTGCGTGTCGACCCTGCAGACAGGTTCGACCAAAAGGGCAGCACTCTCAAACGGAGACCGTGATTGTTTCATCCTGTTCTGCGCGCAGTGCGGCACAGGTTGCTTGAGTCATCCGTGGCTAGCTCACGAGGCAACGTGCCAGAACAAGAAGGAGCCGGCTTTCTAATTGTTTCTTTCCGAGGCGAGCACCACGGAAGGTTCTGCCAACGCCCTCAAAGGGGGGTGCAATGCTTCACTGCTGTACGCTCTTTTCCTGGCTTGAGCGGAAGCGAAGGTGACCTGTTCGGACACGGACACCTCACCCTTGGAGATTGATTCTCCCACGGGACATGGCGGATACCGTCACAAGGAGTTGTGCCGTCGCAGAAAGATGTAAACAGCCTCAACATGCTTGCTATTTCGACCGAAGCTGTTTCTATCCGCTACCGAGCCCCTCCTCTGTGCCAGCATCGCTTTGCATTCAGTTTTCCCGAGCCATGCAATGGGGTCATTGACCTGGCACCTGTTGACAAGGCCCGGATCGAAGTTTTGGAAACAGCAGACACAGCCCGTGCCGCTGACCTGCCAGGCTTGCCGTCCTAGCAGTGCTTGCTCTGAGATGCACAAGCAGCGCGGAAACATCGAGGCTCGGCGGCTTCCAACAGTTTCCAAAAGCCAGACCGCCTATGGAAATCCGCCATGCTCCGCTACGAGTACGCACGTTGAAACTTGCCAAGATTCGGAAGCCGAAGCGCACATGCGCACACAAACGCTTGCATCAGAGTCCGCCTATCTCCTCCATACCTAGAGCGATGATGTTTGTCTTGGAAATGTTCATAACGCTCTCTCTCCAAACTTGCAGACGCAAACATCGAGCTGGCTGGAATGGGCTGGACAAAGTGACAAAGGGTGCTGGATCATACCACACTTCCCCTGTTTAGGACTAGCCTCGTCGGCACAGGCATCCAAGATAGGAAGGTAGCCATCCGTACGCCCCCGTGTAAAGTGCTATCTGCAGTTCCAGGCTAGACATCTTTGGGACAGAAGGTTCGCACGCAAGCGAGCACACACACACACACAGAGAGACAGAGAGTGACACTGCAGATGAGAAGACGGCTCGACGCAGGTGTGAGAGCGCTAACCACGTATGGGGCATCGACGATGCCACTGCATTGGTGCAGAGTGTGCGGGACCCATTATGTAAGCTCTGGGTAGAAGGGACGGGAAGGGACCTCCAGTCGCCTCGCCAGCAGAGGTCAAACCACAGCGCCTAGAGGAGCCGAGCAGAGCGGGCGCACCCTGCGCTTTGTTTTGAAATTGTCCGCAGCTGTGAGGAGCCGAAGCGCAGCGCCTCGAAGCAACTTGAGCAAGGCCCGATCCTGAATCAAAGGGAAGGGCTCCCGACCACCCCTGATGGCACAGGCAGCTCGAAAAGTCAGTCGTCGAATATGACGTTGGACGCAATGAGCTCCGCGAATATGCATCCGGATGCCAAGGGCTGGTCCGAAGGAGCCACGGAGAGACGAGCTCGAGCTCCGTAGCGGTCCCTATAGCGCTGTGTGAGGAAAGCCTGGCACCGGCTCCGGCGGCACCGGCTCCAGTGGCTCCAAGCTCGTGCAGGTGCTGACAGCGGTGCGCAGCACCGCACAGGAGATGGTCCGACCTTCCGCGACCTTTCTTTTTGCTCCTCGAAAAGAGATGTCGCGTCGTCGGCGCGTCGTAGTGGACTCTCGTCAGTGACCTTGAGGTTGTTCCGTTTCTGATCATGACCATTGTCCTCATTGCATGTACCACAGCTGCACTACGACTTCAAAAGTTTAGGCGAAAGTCACACCGCTTGAGCAACTCGAGGTTTTGCTACACTGTTCAGTTTCAGTACAGATTGCCGGACGTTTGCGCCCTCAGAGTATTCCCAGGACCACAGCACAACCAAAAGCTTCAGCCCTGAGAAATTTCAGCAGATGTATATAGAGCTGCAGCAGATCTGAAGCAATGCGCAGGATGGGTCATCATGGCCCAGGACTAACTTTCAGAGCATTTGCTTGGTTTGCCAGCTATCTTCTGCTAAGCCGCCTCACCGCGCGCAGGAGCCAGCGGACGGCGTTGACACCCGCTTCGAGACGCGCGCAGGCCGGACGGGCATGGCTGACGAAGCCTGACTTGATAGCATTGCTTACAGGACCCCTATCTGGCTCTGAGCCAGCAGTCGCTTCCACCTAAGGATGCTCCACCAGGCTGCCGAAAATTCGAAACGTCATGCGGCAGAACACTTGAATTATGGGGTTTTTTAATTTGAGCGATGGCCCAATGGGGGCTCAAGGCCCAAGGGCCCCCCCCCCCCTTCGTCCCCTTCCAATTGGAAGGAGACGCATCCGGCCGCCCCAGCGTCGGGCCGGGACTGGGGCCGGGCCCTGCGAGTCGGATGTCCTTAGCCTCTCAGGACCGAAGTGTAGACAGTGACAGTCCGATTGACCCTTCTTGTGCGGATGCCTTGTCATGTCGGCCATTCTTACAGGCGAGCGCCACCTCCAGGCGAGTGCCACCTTTACGCCTTTCTGCCATCTCTGCAGCCGGGCGACCGACAGGACGCTCGTGGGTTCTTGTCAAGCACTATGCCTGGTTGCATCGGATGTGAATTTTAGCCTCGTATTCACAAATCCAGATGCCAGAGGGATGCCAAAGTTGCTGAGCTTCAGAGGTGACCTTGTGATGTCTTGTAATAGGGCTGGAGATGGCTGGAGTGTTGGCACCGGCGTCCTGTTGTGAGACGCAGAGCATGGAGTTATTGTCTTCGCCTTCCAGAGGAGACATGTTCATGGCATCTGCGGCGCCTTTGCAACCACTGTTTCCAGCGTTGGTGCTTCCTGCACGGGAAGGTCAGTTAGAGGCCGCTCTATGGGTTCTGAAGAGCTGAGCGGCTTTCCGCAGTCGCGGGAAAGATGACACACTATTGACATCTAGTGACACGGATCTTTACAGTGCCCTCAGCCCAACCAACGATGTGGCAGGCAGCACGAGGAAGTGCAAGAGCTAGGGTCAAACTGCGATGCTTACTAAGTGGATGCGGCTACTGCCCCCAGCCTCTGGCAGCCTGCAGGTCAGCCTGGATGCCGTGCAGACCGTACAGAAGACTGGTGCCGGACGATTCTTTGTGAGTCTTGGATTGCCAACAGCCATAGATGGCCACAGCAGATGTGCAGGCTTTGACTTCTGCGTTGCGGCACGAAGCCCCTTCGACCCGAGAGCCTTTCGACACACCCAAGTCACAAAAGCAGCGAGCGACCGCAAACCTCTCAGTGATCTTGAGAAAGCCGCACCTGTCATCTGTCTCCGGCTTCGGAGGATTGGACCGCTCGGGAACAAGATCCTTCATATCACCTCTTGTGGGCCAGGGCCCGAAACAGCGGTTCATAATGCCCCGCAGGTGAGGCAGTTGTGCGGCTTGTAGAATGCCGTTTCGGTGTGAGTGGACCTCAGGAACGCCTTCGATGTTCACATGGCTCAGCGAAGCAGCGAATTGGTGAGCAAGGTGTCTCTAAAGGAGGTGCAGGACTCCAGCAGGCGGGAGAGAGCGGTGGGGAAATGGCACCGAGTTTTTGCCGGCCGAATGGCCACGGCGAACTCACGGCATTCGGCAGACGTTGATACTGGGGTTCCCGGAGGATCGAAATTTGCAGAGGCGATGGAACAGTGTACGGCAAGATTGTTGAACATGAGCAGCCGCAGAAGAGCCTGGATGAGGCCGGGTGTGCTGCACATGCACAGAAGCACAGAATGCCTTTGGCGTTGGCAAGTCTGTTCTAGCCGCAGCAGGTTTCTTTGTCCGTGATCGTGACAAGCTCATCTGGAAAGGCGCGCCCAGCTAGTCGGCACCAGCACATGCGACTTGTCTCACGTGACCCAGGCCGAGAGAGCCATGCTGGTGATCCAGGGAAATCCGGAACGATTCTGCCTCACTGCGAGGGCAGCAGCTGACGGCCAGCCAGCCGCGATCCTGCAATTCCCTGTTCGAAACTCTCTCAACGGCACGGCAAGCTCCGGTTGGCCGAGGCTGCCTCCATCGAGCTGCAAGCCTACAGCGAAGAGCATTACCTGGACCTCAGGTCAGCCTGTTCCTTGCGACATCTTGCGACATGAGCATCTCATGGCAAAGCACTGCAGAGGACGAGTCGCGGTGCAGACACTGCTTTGATTGTATCCAGTTTTTTGGCCGAAGCCTCAGTCAGAGAGGGATTCAGGCATTCACGAACGGATACGGTTTTTGTGCGCGTGCTCAAGTTTGCACACCAGGGGATCCTGCTGCTTCGGGATCGGCCAGATCGGCCCCGCCAGAGCGTCCCTAGGCCGCTCATGAGCGGGGCTTAGCTTAGGTGAGCAAGATGATTAAATCATCGTTTGCAAGTTTTATAAACAGTTTTGTGGCCAATGTGCCATCCGGCGTCGATTCAACGCATCCCCGTCAAAAAGATCTGGGTCGCCTGCTCAAGCCTTTGCAGCATTCACCGGATTTCTAGGGAGAGCTGACAGAAGCGATCCAAGACCCCGAAGGAGGTGCCGGCTCCCGCAGACACGCTGACACTCTTCGGTGTGCCGAGCCGAGATCCAGCTTGAAACATCCATGTGTTACCTGTGCTTGGGGACCAGCAATGCCTCTTCGAAAAGCCACACGTCCCGGTGAATCAAGCAATTTGTGGGGGGAAGCGAGTCAGTTGATTATATGGTCGACACCGATTTCAGCAGTCTGTCCTGTTGGGTGCACTGTGAGCCGTGTCAGGTCCTGGTGCCAACCGCTTTCAGGGTGAAGTTCTCGTCGAATCTCTGTAACTAAGCGTTGTGCCTTGTGTCGCGGCACCACGACATCGCAAGCCTCTCGAAGCAAAGCACTGCCCTTCGGGGTGCGGGTTAAACGATGTTCAGCACCGGTTCAAGTCCAAATTCTAAACAAAATCAGTTCCTGTAAGAATTCACTTCCAAGTTTTCGGGCAAGGGGGCACCAACGACGCGCTACTGGAGCCAGCCGCGGAAGGCAGCCAGACCAAACGTTTGCTTTTGAAGTTGCAAGACTTGCATTGTCCGCACGGCTGCATGAACAAATGCCCAGCACCCTTGCAAAAAGACTTAGTAAGCAATCAATCGAGCCTTGCTGGGAGGGTGCGGTGCGGCAGATTTCTGGCTCGGCCGCAAGCCCAGTTTATTCATCGCCTTTGTGTTTTGAGATAGCACAAGTAGGATTGCTCGAAGGTTGGCAACGCGGTCGACTGTGTAGAGATACAGCCCGCACCTCACCGAGTGAGGTTGGCCTCAGCAAGATGCAATTCTATGAGTAACTCCAGCTTGCAGGTTGCGTGGGGGTTCCAACCTCAGTTGCATCAACTCGTGCCGCCTTCGCACAGCACATCCAACAGAGTCCAACAGACTGGCAGTTAGCGTTCAGGGGTTTCGATACAGCAGCCCGGTGCATGTGTTACTCGAGTACTGATAAATGTCACACTGCTGCATCGCAAAAAGGCTGCAGGGGTGGTAAGTTCCTTCGATGGCTCCAGGGCCAGGTTACGGGCTCCGGCAGTTTTGGGGCACGAGCAGCAGTAAGCTGCAGGAAGCGGGACGAGTGCCGCTTGCGCTTCCCTGCTGGACATTTGCCCTTGTCCAGCTTGCGAGCTTGCCGTTCTTGTCTGTCCCACCCGGGTCCAAGGGGCCGCACAAAAGGACCCAGACATGCACAGCACACGCGGGATGAGGGGGGGGGGGGCGGCCCTGGATCGAGGCAAGAGGCTGTTCTACGGAGAGCAAGGCAAAAGGGGCCATGAAGGGTCATAAAGGGCCCAAAGCCCAAAAAAACTCTGCCCTCTTTCACGCGCTTCGCCTCTGGGAGGCGGCTTCCAGCACAAGTCGAGCAAGCTACATCATGACGAAGTCATCCTCGCTGTAACACAGCAGGAGAGGGACTCGTCATGGCCTTAAAAGCGCAGGATCTATTCTGGTCCATACCGATACCTGTTCCAAAAACGCGAATGAGGTTCGTTGGAAACAGCTTAGTCTTCTACACATCCGAGCCTGTTGCTCGGAAGTGCGTCTGAGTGCTTGTGGCCTGCTTTCTCAGCTCGCAAGTCTAGCGTGTTGAGGTGTCAGATCGTTGCCTTTCAGGGACATGATGCCACGAGCAGAACACGGCTGATTGCGCAAGAGCCTTTCTTTCACCATTCCTCTTGAAATTGCTGAAATGGAACCTCGTGCCGTCCCCAGGCCCACAGGAAGTCAGATCACCGGCTTGCAGTTCGAGGGGCGGAGCTGCCAAGTTCAGCTCGCTTCCTCAAAGAAGTGTTCGCCATGCCAGGAGCCAGCTGACAGGCATTTACTTGGAACGGATTCCCCTGGATGGAAGCCGGGCGCCTATATGTGCTCAACACGTGATGACACGTGCATAACTTCTCGAAGATCAGGTGCCATGGCCATTGCCCGCATCAGTGGGCATGTAGGCCCCTGTGCCCGATGCATGCCGTGCAAATCTTCGATAAACCCTGCCCCGAGACAGGCTCTGCTGTGGATAAGCTGGTGCTGCAGCAATACCCCCAGCGCTTGTTTTCGTAGCTAAGCGAAGCCTGGCGACTAGCCGCATGTGGAGATCATGTCCGCCACAAGGCTCAGGGATGGTTCCTCTCGGCGTTACGGTTTCGAAGGAGGTGCAGTGCTGCTAACAAGAACTGGAGAGTCACTTGGATTTATTTTCATATGTGGAAGGCGATCCGGTGGGGCCTTGGACGCTAGATGCCGATGAGCTCATGACCTACAAAGCAGAATAGCAGATCCACTTGTTCACGAAAGCTCTTGCCTTTCGGAGGTATGTGCTTTTGGTTGAGCAAGATCGGCGTGATGCATATCTTGGTAATTCGCTGGCCTTCGTAACTTCCAAAGGCCGAAAGTAGATTCCCACTCCACGTCTTGCTACATCCCCTGAACCAGGCAACATCATTGAGTTTCGGGGGCTGCAGGCCATTACGTTCTGAATGGCGCCTGCCGCTCAGTGATGTGGAATTGAATGTGGCCGGAGGCATCACGGTCTCGACGATTTGCTCCTATCTCAGACTGCAATGACAGTTAGGTAGCAGCGCTGCAAGTATTTTCGCTTCGAGGTCGCGCCTCCTGACAGACAAATTTGCGGCCGTTGGCTGAGAGAGCATCCACGACAAGAAAAGCCAATGTGGTTTCTGATGGGGCCGAGGTTTGGGCTTCACAGGTAGCTGCTTGACTGGGGTGCGGATCAACAGCGGCTTCTTCCGGCATGCTATTCAATTCGCTCGTGCTGCCGCAGGTCACCACCTGCCCACTTGAGGCACATGAAACAGGAGAACAAAATCTGCGGGAGCATTTTCTGCACATTGACTAGCTTTCTGATTGGCTGCAAAGGGTCAGCCTCCTCTTCCCGTACAGCCAGGCAAAGTTCCTGTGACGTGGATCTGCGGGGATCCATTTTCCGTGACTGCTGCAGCTTCACACGAGCACCGGAGGGAAAGAGCTTTCAACAGCGAATTTGGTCTCCAGATGGTTGACGAAGACAAGAGCGGACACAAAGTGCAGCGACTTCTGTTTCGTCCATGCCGCTATCGACTGCAAGTGCGAGGGAATCGAAATGGCCCGGGTGGCATTCGGAAAGCTTGCGTAGTTCGCCTGGGATACGACATGCTCAACATATTCGTCGATCGAATTTAAAACCCAAATTTGAGGAACATCCCTCCGTGCTACACAAGACTTAGACAAAACAACTTTAATGGCATATTCATGGAAGATCGTGGAAGCATGTCTTAACGGACTGGGGGCAGCTTGTGGTTCTCGCATGAAGTCTAAATTTTTGCATTTGTTCGGTGTCTTCAGATTTGAATAAGAACTGATTTATATATTTTTATTTTCAGATGATTGAACTCGAAATACTCGATTATTTAATTCTCATATAATGATCTAATATGATATTGATTATTACATGTCTCTATTTCATGTTTTTTTAATTTCGATAGGGCTAGCATGATCTAGAAAGTTATTCGATTCTAAATTGAACAATGAATATAAGAGTTCATAAAGGTAAAAAGCTTTTTATGTTTGAAAAAGATGATTAAAAAAGCTAGAATTTTTGAAAATGATAAAGTAACATTTCTTGATATATTCTAGTATTTTTTGTTTTTTTAGTTGGATTTGATTATTTTGCTAGGAGGAGATATTTTAAAGCGAAATGATGGATATTTGGAGTATAATATATTTATAATTAGATATATGATAGGGTAATTGATGGTAGAATGAGATATCTATTTATTTAGATTTTTTATGTTTTAATAAGATTTTTTATGCTTTTATGAATATTTACGGAATTTTGGCATTTTTTTTGATGAATAATTTTAGAATTTGAAGATTCTCCGATTTCGGAATATTTTATATGAGATAACAATTTTTTCGGAAATTATTTCCCAATATATTTGGAAATGATTTCTGAAAATATTTTTGGCATAATAATATTATATTTATTTCTATCTTTATATTATTTTTATTTATTCTATATAGAAAAATAAGCAAATACTTAAACCCTAGATCCCTCTACCAGGCTCTATTGGGCCGGTAAGCCCCTCCTCTTGGGGGCCCTGTTGGTAATATTAAAACCTTTTTGGAGGATCTAAAGATCTTCTTGTAGGCTCTATTGGATCGGCAAAACCGTCGTCTCGCGGGCCCTGCTGACAATAATATAATCCTGAATTTCTGAAAATCCCTTTTACAGGCTCTATTGGGCCGGCAAGACCGCCCTCTTGGGGATCCTGATGGTAGCAATACGACCCCTTTTAGAATTTCTGAAGATCCCTGCAATTTGGTTCTGAAGATCCTTGCAATTTGGGCCGGCAATATTCTCTCTTAGGACCCTGTTGGCAATAATAACAACCTTTTTGGAGTTTTTAAAGATCCCTCAGAACTCTTTCTTAGGATCTATTACTAGCAACAAAAATCTTTTTGGAGATTCTGAAGATACCTCTTTTAGATTATATTGGCTCGACAAAATTCCCTCTTAAGGATCTTATTGGCAAAAATAATATCCTTTTAGAGGCTCTAAAAATCCTTCTTGCTAATTTTAGTGGGCCGACAAGATTCTTTCTTAGAGGCCCTATTAATAGTAACATCACTCCTTAAGAAGCTCTGAAGATCCGTCTCATAAGTTTGGTTAGGCCGGCAAGACTCCCTCTTAGGAGCCCTGTTAGCAACAACAAGCGCCCGTTTGCAGCCTCTAAAGATCCCTCTTACAAGCTTAATTGGGCCGGCAAAATTCTCTCTTGGAAATCCTATTGGCAGCAATAAAACCTTTTTTCGAATGATGACCCCCCTTTTAAGCACCTAA